ATTTCAAGTAAATTAGCCAATACTCTTGGTTAGTTTGCAAATGAGCTGTTATTTTAGTGAGAAAATAGCAAATGGGCTGGTTAGTTTATAAACTATCCAGCTAGTTTAAAAACTATCCAAGTTTGCATATTACCGGAAAACACGTGTGTCGTAACAGTAGAGACTTTGTACATGTTGATTTCTACGTTTGTCTCTCTGTATTTCTGTATCAGAAAATAGACAATAATATTGATACGATATCGATAATAATAATTATCAAAGAATATCAGAATATAAGAACCTATCCAATATATTTTAAATTTTGATTTTGCACAAGCACAAGAATGTTTAATTTATTTCTCAAAAAAGTTCATCTTACCACCATAAGTAGGTATTCTACAATCAAAGCATTTTTCATCATTGTAGAATCACCAAGATAATATTTTTCAATTTTACCAATTTTACGGGTAATATTACTCAAAATTGCCGGTAATTTTACCGAAATTAATTTTATCGGTAATTTTGCAACTCTACTCACGAAGAAAAAAAAAAACTAGAAAAAAAATATTACTATATATAACGACTTTTTTTCAAACTTTGACACCTCGTATTTCGGAAACTGAACAATCGCGAACCCATTTTTCTATTAACTTTTTTTATTTTAATGAGAACTATTTTTATCCTAGAAGCTTGATCCCACTATTCAGAAGCACCCTGTATATTAAAGAAAAATTTGTCAAATTTGAGAGAATTTTGATACCGTGACGCTTACGAAATTATGTAAAACACACTTAAATTAAAACTGTCTGGATTTTGACATGTAATGTCATTATTATACGAGGGTCAACTTGCAAAATGTCCAAGGAAGAAGGGATGCCAAATACAGTTAGAAGGAATACCTATATGAGCATCTTAAGGTGTATAGAAGCCGGTTAGAAATTCAAATTCCCCTAGTGGCAGTTTTCATAAAAATTTGCGTACTCTGAGTATGTCGGGCTTATGTCTGCCACTAGGGGTCGCGGACTTAAATTTCTGACCGCCACTTCTGACCAGCGCGTATAGCTACAAAATATACAAATAATACAAAAACAATAAACAGGTCCTTAAGAAGGGTTCACTCTCTAAACGGTGGAGATTTAAAAAAATAATGATTTCACTGCCAAATTTTAGAAAGAGATAAACTCATATCTAAGTTGCCTCCCAAAAAACTTTCCGAATGGTTGCCGAAAAAAGTAGCTTTCAAATAAAAACATTACCGCACACTTGCTGAAACATTTCTATTTTCTATCATGGTTGAAAATAAAAATGTATGTTATATTTTTCTACTATATATTATGTTGCTATTTTAATATAAGTATATATTTAGTATATTTTGTAAATAACGTTTTCTTTATATTTAAATCAAAGTTATAGATTTTAATTTATACACAATCTCACCTGAAATACATATTTTATTTATTAAACTGTTTTTATAATTACCTAATATAGTTTTTCTTACAAATAAATTTGTATATTCCTAGTTTGCATTTATTTATTTCATAGGTAAAGTCTATACAGATTTCCCAAAACAATAAATGGTACCGTAGAAATTTCCTCAGTAAATGGCCGTAAAACGTAATTCTCCCAACAGTATTTACTACGACCGTAGAAATACCGATAACTTGTCGGGTTGAATATGTCAAATCAACTAGACTTATTCAATGGCTTTGAGGATTTAACTTATTATCACCCCATTTGAAATTTTCTTGAGTCATAATGTAGATTAACCAATAGAAAAGATTAAAAACTCCGAAGGATGTTGGAAATAGAATTCTGGCAGCTCTGTCAATCAAGGATACACTGTTGATGTGACGAATTCCGTGATGCCCAGGTTTAGTTGAATCTGAAAATTGATATTTTAATTAATTTGCGCTTTTGCATCTAAAAGAATACATAAAAAAGGATTTTGCGATATTCAGTTTATTTCGGATTATTTGAACGAATGGGAATCATATATTATCCGTTCACAATCCAATGTCCACAAGTACAGGTAAAATTTATCACCTTTCAATACTATTTAATAGGGAAAGGTGATAAATTTACCTGCACCTGTGGACATCGGATATAGGTACTCAATTAAGAACCCAACGGCGCGATTTTTCTCTAATTTGTCACCCTGTATCTGTTTCCGTTTCCGATATCCAGATGTAACTTATTTGATCTGGGATACCTTGCATTCAACTAGCAGTGTCAAAGTCACTTCGTCTTCGATTGGAAAAGCGTTCCGTATCGAACCGAAATCTTCAGCAACCACGCCACTATCAACCGACGTTGTACCGATCGGTTAACCAGGTTTGGAAACTGAACCCAGCCCTAATTATTATCTTAGCAGGTAACCGCCATACATATCACACGTACTGTCAGTGTATCAAAACCAATAAAACATTTGATATAGGTACCTGCAAAAATCGCAAGTAAATAAAGTAACGTTAAACGTTGCCAGATTCATTTTGACCGCGTTTGGGTTTACGCTCGGTGCACTCAGAGCTTGCACTTTTGTCTCTCTTCTATTATTTTTGATACCCCAAGACAGTTATAATTTTATTGGGAACAAAATAACATAAAGCTGCGACTAGTCTAAATCGATAGGATTTATGGTCCTGATTAACATACTAAAAGTCCTCAGACCTTCCCCTAAGGGAACATTGTCAAAATGGCGCCGCAACGTTGGATTTTTGACATTTTTTGCTTAATTTACGTTTTACTCGAAAACTACTGATTCTTCGAGAAAATATAAGGAGAAATAAATTGGAGAGCACAAAAAAAACTTTAAAAAGAGTTATTTTTGAACTTCCTGGGTACTACCCTTACCGAGATACGACCCGAAGAAGTACCGCCGAAATACCGCTTTCCACATGCAAGCACTTGAATGTTGTTAAGTTTTGTAGGAAATCCGATATAAATCCATTTTAAACGCTTCAGAATAGCTTTTTCGTTATACTTTTATGAAAATTTTATTGTTTTATACAACAAATTCGATTAACGAAACATAATATTACTAACGTGTATTCTACCTACATACTACATATACATAGAATAGTATATTACATACTGAGTAGGGAAGTGTTTCATTACTGTCGGGAGATTGACTATTAATATCGAGACAGAAATGAAAATTTTCCTCCGAGGTTTGTATACTATTTTATTTGCAAGCACACCATTAATTATGATTAGTCAATCAATTTTTTTAATATTAGGCGAATTCGGTTAATCCTCTGCGAGTTAAAAGATGACACTGTTGACAGAAGCTCACGTGATCTTTCATTTGAAGTAATAGAACTGATCACGTGAGGCCAATCATCTTTTCGCTCACGGAGGATTAACCGAACTCGCCTATTCGAAAAATAAAACAAATATGCCAAAATGTGTCATTCACTGTTTTGACGTTTTTACCTGACATGTTCTCATTGTTGTCAGCAAAGGTAAATAAATTAGAGTGACTATTTCACTAGAGTGTTTTACATTGGCAAAATGTCATAGGAACGGCCGGTTTCCTACTGACAAAACTCCTACCTGGACAAAACCAACATGATGATTTTTCAGCGACAAAATTTTCTGTGGTTAATGTACAAATCTATTGAGTTTGACAAGTGTCACCTAAAAAAAATAAATTTTCCAAATGAAAATTTGGCTTGTTTCTCTCGTGAAATAGTCCAGCCGAATACCACTCAAGAAAAAACTATGTAGGCAAAATTATTCTCTTGGTTTTATTCAAGTTTTTTTGCTTTTTGGTAATTGCCAAGCAACAAACTTTCAGGGAAGTCGAATAGGGAAATCGGTGAGGAAAATCGAAGAGGGAAGTGACACAGGTAAAGTGTCACTTCCAAATTTTTAAAAAGTCAGTAATGTCAAGATTACATATGTAGGGTACGAAACCTAATCGGTATCTGTGTTTGTATTTATAGGTATAAGTATTTTTTTCCGTTTGTAATTATGTAAATATTATATTTCTTCATTTCTCCAAATAATTCTCTTCCGACTGTACCTATTTATTTTTACATAGACTGTACCGTCACGGTTGAATAGGCGAGGCGCGCTGGATCTCAGGGTAGCAACAGGGCGACGAAAAGGGAATATCTCTATATAGGTTGATAGAAGAGGATAAAAGATACGAGCGGGAGCGACTCGCGACGGTAACAGGGTGGCACCGAATGGCACGGCGCCAGTGGGGAAATAGCCACGAACGAATAATATTAAAAAGAGGGGTCAATCGTTAATTGAACGCTGAAGGCGGAAGACGGCCGCCAGATTTTTCCTAGACGGGGTAAATTTAAGACGCGACGTTCAATTAATTATCAAGACGTATATTTCTAAAGCCGTCAAGACGTACCTATACTTAGTTGTGAAGTTGTTATTGTGATTTTCCGTGCCAATTGTATATTTATCAATGACGTATTTATCTACCATCTAATCTATCTATTCTTCGTAAATATTATTAAAATTCCTTATATTTTCAATGGACCGTTACGTTTGATTTTCTGCTTGCCTCAAAATACCCCTAGACAACGATAAAAATCCTACACATATATGGTTGCAAATAATAGTATATTACATAACAAGGTGGAAAGTGTTTCATTACTGTCGAGAGATTTTAGGTAGACCCAGGCGCAGCAGTAAAAGTCAAAAAAGTGACATTTTCAAACTTTTTAAAAGTCAGTAAAGTCAACATTACATATATGATTGTAACTTGTTTACTCTGTCATGATAGGTACAAAGATACCTATAAAAACAATAGTTATTTAAACAACAAATTTTGAGACGCGTGCGAAAAACTCCATTTTCGGAAGCAGTGTTGAAAAAAAAAAAAAACTTTCTTAACCTAATAACTAAACTAAATATACTACAACCTGGCATTTCAGTTTTGAAAGTGTCACTTTTCCGCATTACTTCTCCACACTAGTGCGGAAAGGGAAAATATCTAAAATTGTATTTGAAATTAGTAGAGGTACAAGTATCAATTTTCATCTAGTCGAAAAAATATCGTTCCATAGGTACTCGTGCGGAAAGTCTCTTTTTCTCACTTGATTGCTTGGCAGAACTCCGCTTCGCATTGTTCCGCCAACTGTAATCGCGTGCGGAAAAGTGACACTTTCCGCACGCGAGTACTCATATCAGAAATATGTTTTAAGTCACGTTCTTGAAATTTCCTGCTAATGCTTTTCTCTCAAAAAGAAAAATAAAAAAATCCTATGTCGGCGGTACTTTATCGGCTCCTATCTTGGTAAGGGTACTATCGCGGATGTTCGGTGGTACCTATGTACCTCAGATTTAGCTCTTCAATTTACGTCTCTTTATATTTCTTAAAAAATGAGTGGTTTATAAGTAAAATGAAAATTAAGCAAAAAATTGTTTTTTGTCAGTACTTCTTTGGCTCCTATCTCAGTAAGGGTAGTACCCAGAGAGTTCAAGAAAAACTTATTTTAACAGTTTTTTTGTGCTCTTCAATTTACCTCTTTATATTTTCTCGAAAAAATGAGTAGTTTTCGAGTAAAACGTAAATTAAGCAAAAAATATCAAAAATCCAAGATGGCGGCGCCCTTTTGACAATGTTCCCCTAGGGAGAAGTCTGGGGACTTTTAGTATGTTCATCAGGACCATAAATCCTATCGATTGAGACTAGTCGCAGCTTTATGTTATTTTGTTCCCAATTCACCATATAAGAATTTTTAACTGTCTTGGAGTATGAAGCTCCGACGCTTGATAGTAACTGTACTTACTTAGTGCTGAATTACAGAAACTCTGCAACAGCAAGATACAAATGTAGGACCTGCAAGTCTGACTTTTTGTATTACAGAAGCAGAATGCATTTGCAAGTCGCCTGCAAATTTGCGCATGGCGAAATGGTCCCGTAAGTTCCCTCTGACAACTTTGACATTTTAAACTGGTAAATCAGTAGCGCCCAAACACTTTTTTTCCATAAATTTGATGAAATTGCAGTTTTTTTCTGTAATTTGCTCGTTCCTGCAAATAGAGCACATAAATGCAAGTCGGCCATATTTGCATATGAAAATATACTGTAATTGGGCCCTTAGTGTTTAACTTTAAGTTAGGCTTTAGGAAATGAGAGGCTTGAACGATCACTATTGCAGCGAGCTCAGCAACAAATGAGTGAGATACACCAGGAAATCCTATGCAAATTTTGAAATAATCTAATGATATTCTTCGCAACTGCTGGACAAATTCAAAATATTTAATGTGAAAAGCCAATGCCAGAAGAATTGCTGATTCTTCAAATAAACAATTTTAGAATATGAAACAAACAAGAATTACCAAATAATATGAGCCCCCTATTACAAGACAGACTAAAATTACCTGCAGCTTCTCTTTGTCTTTGTCTCCTGAACTTATCATCTCCTTTCAGACAATACATAAATTGCTTCCATTTCGGTAACTTATTTTCAGTCTGAGTAGTTTTCTCAACAGTTATTTTGACAGGAGGCGAAGCCCTAGGACTATCGACCAGCGAAGTTCTCTTGGGGCTCTGATATAGTGGCGCTGCATTAAAAATCGGACAAACTATAGAGCTTCTTCGTCTACGACTCTCAGAGGTGGTGCTGATGGTTTCTAGTAAATCATCTGCAGTGGAACCAATAAATTCTTCTTCGGTTTCTTTGAAGTCTTCCCATTCATCTTCGTCTATTGGAATCTCACCGCTGCCAACCTGAAAAAAAAAATTTAATGATAGACTAATTCAATCACTAGACTAGACTCACCTTAGTGAAATAATGAACACCAGCAAACTCTAACAGAGTAGCTATGCAATATAGGAAGCTCATCAGCAAGAACCAGTCAAGAGCTGTAGCGTAACGCACTTTAGGTAAGTCAGTTCTAGAGTCTAGACTTATTGTTGATAGAGTTAGTACAGTCGTGATGCCTTAAATTAAAAAAAAAAATGTACCTCACATTTTTTTTTTTTTATTGTTAAGTGATCACCTAATCCGATTCTATCGCTGGTAGCTTCTCGATGGATCCAGAACGAGACCCAAGAGAGAACAACTATTAAAATGCAAGGGACGTAAACTTGAATTAAAAAGTAGCCAGTATGTCGTTGGAGGTTGAAGCTAACTTCTAAGACTGAAAATTCCCCTGGAAGAAGTTTAATGTAATTAGGTATTCAAGTAAATTAATAGTTCAGGAACCTACCTTCTCTACGCTTAAATGTAAAATTCCTAGAAGGATAACTGATCAAATCAAATTGGGACAAAGTCATTCCAGCTACAAACGTTACGCTCCTGTCGCTTTGCCATTGATAAATCAAGTCTTTCGAAGTATAGGCATCTTAAGAAAATTTTGATTAGTTTTATATGTGCTAACATAGATTAGTAGTAAAAACTAGAACTTAATTAGGAAACTTTTTATCTTCAAGGGTTCTATAATTTGAGCTTTATTGTCGCCAACACTTGACACAGAAGTGATCCTATGTACCTAGGACTGAATTAGTGTATTATATACCTAGGTAGAGAAGTTGGTCATTATATACCTACTTAGCGTTTTTTAAACCCGAGGAGTGAAGCAGCGAGGTTTATAATACGCAAGTTACACATATTATAATGAATTTCTCTACCAAGGAATATATAGAATTGTGAAAGTGAAAAAAAAGATTTTTTAAAATGTTTGAAATCATTGTGTTCAAATTATTTTTTCCTTTTCAAATCATCAAGGGCAAATAATAAACTACAAAAATTCGTTGGAACTCTCCTCTCTGAGGATCAAAAGTTATTTGAATATATCCAATATCACTCTGATGATTTCAGAATAATCAGTCAAGAATTCCACGAAAAACTCACGACCTAACAAAAATCAAAACATTTCTCAAACAATCAAAAATAAAGGAAGCAAACAAATCTAAGGAAATCCATAAATCAATCAGTAAGAAAAAAAGCACCATTTCCTCACAAAATCAAAATATTAGTTTCAACCAATGAAATTCACTCTGATTTTTGAATTCACTGGTTTGTGATTTCGCTACGAACAAAGGTCTGGCTTCAGATGCAACTCTACCTCCTACTTCTAATATCGGGTCTTAAAAAAAAGTCAATCAAAGACTGCTATGGTTTTTTGAGTGTATGATGTCTTAGCGATATTTTTCTTTTATTTTTTCAATGAACTTTAATGTCAATCAAGGAACAATAATGCGTCGTAGCAACTCAACATTTGAAGTGTATTTTTTTGGAATAAAATTATTTTTTGAAAAGTGATTCCTAAGAAGAAATCCTTTAACTTGCCAGTCATAAGTCAAAAATATACCTTTAGCAGGCCAATTATCGTCGCGATCAGCTTACAGTGTATAGGCCGGCATACACACACGTTATTTCGCGCGGTTTATCGTGGCGTCTTGGGATGTAGCGGTTTGCACGCGCGAAAGAACGGCGTGGCAAAAAAAAGCGTCATGTTCCATACACTTGACAAAGTATTCAAATGATTTAGCACGTGATTACGCGCGGCATATCAGTTGGAAAGGAAAAGTCGTATGTGTATGGGTAAAAAGTGTCATTAAGGCCGAAACTCACTAGCAACACGCCACGTCATGCTTCGCCACACCACGCCATGTGACGAAAATATATGCGTATATTCTTCCATTTATTTATATGTGCTGCGTACACACTTGCCATACGCGATACCACGCCATGGCACGCCACGCCATCCGTCCATTTGCACACAAACTGTCTCACGTGAACCTGTGTCACATGGCGTGGCGTGTTGCTAGTGGGTTTCGGCCTTTAATCATGTCGTTTGGAAGTGCATGTTGTCATGTACTAATTTTCAACATGATAATTCGCTACGCGGCGTTCATGTCTCCGTACTAACCTCAAAACCGTGACGTGAAATGGCGTGTGGACATGGTTGTGAACTGCACTATTATGTACCTGAGTACTGACGCCACATTCCAGATGAGAGCACGTCTGAAATCCCTTCCCCCGCGCAGTCCTCCTAACTCACGCACATGATTTTTCACAGGTTTTTGCAGATGACACGATAAACCGCGCGAAATAACGTGTGTGTATGCCGGCCTTATGATAATAATGTAGTTAGCTATAGTTTCAATCTACTCACAACTTCCTAAAATAAGTGGACAGGATTGACGGTCCATCGGAAAACTTCTTAATTCCATCGGACATTTTGCTTTTATCGTCAACCTAAATCGAAAATAAATTATAGAACATAATGACAATAAATAAAACAATTTTAAATCTATAAGATATTACCTCATCGAGTACAAAATATCTCCGTCTTGGCTAATCCTCAACAGCTTATTAGGCACAGTTATAGTGTGCACATACGAGTTTTTGCCATTGTAAAAGTAAGTGTCTGGTCGCCATATTCTTTCCAGCATTTTAATTGATAAAGATAGAGATTTGATCGGTCCGACGAAGGATAGTCTTTGATCTCTCCAGTATTGACGAAAGTAACAATCCATGGAGTATTCCTATAGGAAGATATCTATGTTAGTTAGATGCCGAGTTTTAAAATTTGCTGAAAATAATACACTGCCCGCCAACTGAGCGGAGCCTAATTACCAGAGGCCGAAAAGTAAATACTATTTTGGTAGGTATTTGTGCACGCAAATTATTTCGGGCACCAGCTGTGCTCAGTTCGCTAACTGGTCGATTTTATCGGCAAATGGCCAAATTAGGTATCTGCGTACCTATCTGAGCCCAACACATAATAGGTATAATAATCTAACACACATAACAATCTTGTAGCTTACCATATCTAGTTCGGATACGGGTCCCATGCTTCTGATGAGGATATTAGTTTGTACCACTGTAGGGTTGCCTGTTAACAAATTAAAAGAAAAACGATGTTGTTATTCATATTAAGATTATAAATAATACTCAATGCGTTACCTATGGTGCTTTTTAAAACTTATAATTTTTCCACCAACAGTGAACTACAGTGGCGTATCCAGGCTGAGATTCTGGGGGGGGGGGGCAGACCAGATGTCCACCGGAGGCGGAAATTTTTTTTAGGTGCCACGCCCAAAAGTCGTAAAAATCACACATCTTGATGGCATATTTGCGCGCTTCTAATACTTTTACAGGACAAGGATATATTTTAACCGAAAAATAAGGTAGTGTCATGATTCTGTATTATTAACCTGCAAGCCGCCACTGAAAAAATGTTTAGGCTGCTCATTGAAACGATAAGAGGTTTATAACTGAAGTTATTTATTTTCCTGAGAAATCGACTTTCAAGAAACAAATAATATACCGGGTGTCTACGAAATTAGTTTCGCGCTGGCATTTGCTGGGTTTTTTTTCAATGGCAAAGATTTTTGGTATAGAGTATAGACACAATTTATACCGTACCGATACAGTTGTACAACTCTCCATATTTTTTGAGGCCAAATTCTCCAACCAATAGGAGCATTTTGTCCCATATCTTGCGCATGCGCTCAATGAGTTAACAAATCTCTCAAATTGAAAAAGCAGTTCGGCATATGTACATGCCTTTTTCCAATCCTGCACGCAAAAAAGAGATAGAGATAGCTTGGGTGAGAACCCGCGAGAAATAACCGTCAAACTAGACACGCAACAGGATTGTATTACAAAAAAAGAAGAGAAGTTTTTTGACTGAAATTGAAAAGTGACTGGAAAACTCATCAATTTTAAATTCGGCTTAAGAGTGTCTTGCTTTCCGTGTTATTCGCGATTTTTGTGTACTTGACTGTTTTATCGTTTATATCGAGTTTATATATTCTGTATTATCATGGTTGCTTCCTGTTTTGTCTGTAAAAACAACACTAGAACTAGCCCAGGCTTAGGATATTTCAGTTTCCCGAACGATGAACGATTGTAAGTATTTATATTTACATATTTCATATTAGGTTCACTCTATACTTTCACATAATCTTTGTTTATTATTATATGATCCTGTTATATTCTCAATGTTAATCCACAAAAAATCCTAGTCCGACTCTGTCCACGGCCCAGGATTCGTTGTTTCCGATCAATAATGCGCAAGCGCGAAATATAGGGACATAGAATTTGGCTTCAAAAAAGTCTATGGTTTCTCAACGGAGTTGAACAACTGTATCGGTACGGTATAAACTGTGGTATAGGTTTGAGAAATGTCATCTTTTGACATATGTGTCTATGTTTGGTAACTTCCGGTTCGACTGAAAATGGCCCTAACTTCGTAATTTCGAATGGCATCCCAAGAATTTTTTCGCAATTTTGGGATCTGCGGATCATGATGTGTATGACGTCAAATTTGAACATTTTTGAAGAAACTTAAGAATTCTGGATCAAAATTTATTTTTGAATAGAAAGGACAGAATAGCCTTTAAACTGTTTTTTTCAACTCACACGATCGTAGAAAAATGCGAATGCCAAGTTGTTATCCTTTGCCTGTTCTCCAAAGACTTCCAAAGTTGAAAAAACCACATTTTACGCGATAACTCAATGAAATCAGTGAAATTACCCAACTTTCACAACAAGAGATTTTTACCTTTTTCAAGATGAAATCAACTATGCATTAAAACTTTTCATTTGTGCCAGTTTTTAATTATTTTCTCATTATTTTTATTATGCACTACTATAAATGATGAAACTACTTATAAATGAACCCCTGTATAAAAAAACGCTGTCTAAAAGGAGCTGGTGGTCTTTTTCTACTTGTCAAGCCTTTGACAAAATCTATGGCCAAGATATGTTTGTTTGCATAGACATTTGTCATTGTTTGGCATCTCGGGAATTTGTAAATACAAAGTTTGAATACAGGGGCTCATTTATAAGTAGTTTTATCTTATCATTTATAGTAGTGCATAATAAAAATAATTAAAAAATAATTAAAAACTGGCATAAATGAAAAGTTCCAATACATAGTTAGTTTTATTGTGAAAAAGGTAAAAAACTCTTGTTGTGAAAATTGGGTGATTTCACTGATTTCATTGAGATATCACATAAAATGTGATTTTTACAACTTTGGAAGCTCTTGGAGAACAAGCAAAGGATAGCAACATGGCATTCGTATTTTTCTACAATCGTGTGACTTGAAAAAAACAATTTAAAGACTATTCTGTCACTTACTATTCAAAAATAAATTTTAATCCAGAATTCTAAAGTTTCTTCAAAAATGTTCAAATTTGACGTATTCATACACATCATGATCCCAAAAATGCGAAAAAATTGTTGGGATGCCATTCGAAATTACGAAGTTAGGGCCATTTCCAGTCAAACCGAAAGTTACCAAACATCAACACATATGTTGGCTTCACAATTATGCTGCATGTTTTAGCATGTTCTAATTATTGTTGATTCCGTACCACCCAGTACCGGTCATATCAGTTTTGTCAGTTTGAGTTAAGTCTGTCAAGATTGCTGTCAAATTATTGCAGCAATATATCAAAATTCGCTCTCCGTAAAAGTTAGTTCGGTTCGTGTTACTCATTTTTATGTAGTAAATAAGGATACAGTCCACAATCATACCTAGTAACATCCGGAGAATGTTATCAGGTCGAAACTAACTTCCTCCCGAGTGTTTTCTTGTCCTCACTTCCATTGTTAAAGGTAAAATTAAAGTTTAGTAATCTACTGTTGTTTAAGTGTCATTTGGAGACCAATAAATAAATGTTTTCTGCAAATTAAACTGTTTACTAATAACTTTCCCACTTCAAGAAATTTCAAACAAACCAGCTATAAAAAAAAAAAATCCAAATTAAGAATATTTATATCTGGACAAAACATTGGTCGACTTCGAGCTGGATTTCAGGAGCTGATTTGTTGGTTTTTCATTGAAGGACTTAGCAGAAAATTCAGGTAAAAGTGACAGTATACCAAAGTGACATTTCGCAGGAAGTTCAAAAGGAAAAAAGGTTACAAAGGATTTTCAACGACTGAAAAGGATTTTCATCAGATACAAAAGGAGTTTATCTTCGAGGAAAACAGGGAGAAGAAAGAAGGGTGCATTTTCTTCAGACAAGGAAGTTTTCATGTCACTATTGAACGGAAAATAAGGTCGTATAAAACTTTTCTATTTTATGCCAGTATTCAAAGGTTATTTCGTGTTCTCACTGTGTATTAGGGTGCATGTACATTCAATTTTATTACTTTCAATTTTGAATTTATCAGACTCTTAGCGAATTTTAGAATCATTCAGTGTACTTCTGGTACAATATTAGTTAGTTTGCATATCATTTTGTAAGAAAAGTATTAGTCATTGTATTAAAATGGCTGAAGCCCAAGCTGAATTTGCTGCTCTAACTCAAAAAAGAAGTAGAATAAAATCAAAATTAACAAGACTTGAGAATTATACAAAGGCTAATGAAACTGATATGCTTATTGACATCAATGAATTTGTAATTAGGGAGGCTATGTTAGTAAAATCTTTTGGAGAATATGAAACTGTTCAGGATAGAATGGAGGAAATGGATAGTACTCAGGAGGAGGATAGGGTTAAAATTGAATTACAGTACACCTCTTTACACAGTAAACTTAAAACAATTATTAAAAATAAAATAGATTATAATAATATGCATGCAAGTAGAAAAGGTTTGAGCGGTTCTGGGTGTAGTACTGGTGTCAGTTCTAATAATGTGCAATCAACTATCCCAACCCCTAAAGTTAACTTACCAAACATTAATATTCCTACTTTTTCAGGAAAATATGAAGATTATCGGTCGTTTATAGAACTTTTCTCTTCTCTCATACATTCGGATGCTCATTTAAACAAGGTTCAAAAATTTTTATATCTTAAATCAGTTTTAAAAGATGAACCTCTTTTGCTGATAAAAGATCTACAAATTACTGAAGCTAATTATGATATTGCGATCGATTTGTTGCGTAAACGTTACGATAACAAATTGGTTACAATCAATACCCACATTAAGGTTTTATTAGAAGCGCAAGTTGTAAAAGGTAGTTCAGTCGCCCTAAGGGATTTCATAGTTAAAGTTAGGCAAAATTATAATGCATTGGTGGCGTTGGGGGTTCCTGTAGATAAATGGGATCTCATCTTAGTTCACATTTTAGCATCCAAACTGGATTATGATACGCACAGAACATACGAATTACAAAGGGATTCTGGGGTACTTTCCACTTTTGACGCGTTTCTTGATTTTATAAACAAAAGATCTTTGGCTCTTGAAGCAATAGCAGCACCTGACAACAAACAAAAGTTTTTAAAAAATAGCTTTCATTCAACAAATCCTTCTGCTTCTGATTCTTTTACAGGAAATAAGGCCAAATGCGCATGTTGTGAAATGGGTTTTCATCCAATGTACAAATGTTATAAGTTTGCTAAATTAAAATTAAAGGATAAAAGGGATTTTGTAATTAAAAAGGGACTTTGTTTTAATTGTTTGAGTTCTAATCATCGGGTAAATAATTGCAAATCTTTGGGTTGTAGGGAGTGTAAAGGCAAATACCACAGTTTGCTACACAACAAGGAGCAAGGACAAGGTAAGGTAAATACAGCACAACTGGGTGCAAATAATGATCACACTAATTTGCAGGATGTCAATTTTCCAATTGTTACATCGTCTTCTGTGACAACTTCTTCGGTCGAGGCAGATTGTCCAAGACGGGTGCCATGTTTGTTATCCAACAACACTAAACAGGTTATTCTGGCTACAGCCGCAGTAAATTTGGTTTGTTCCAATGGATCCAAGGTTGAAGCAAGAGCGCTTCTAGATTCTGGTTCGCAGAGTTCGTTCATTACGTCCAAGTTTGCAAGTAAATTAGGAACACAGGGAAGTCCAGCAACTATTGAGGTTGCAGGGATTGGTCAAACTGG